ATCTCGACACGCGAATCTTATCGGAAGCTTGCGCAAAATCAATATCTGATTTACGTTCCCGAACTGACTGTTTCGGTGAACGCATCGCGATCTTAAATTTAATTCCTCACATAAATAGTTTTGTAATTGCCTCATTTCTGTATTTATTTCCTCGTTTCTCATTCTTGAATATTCTCAAAACGCTATGTACTCCACCCAATGTTAAATTTAAATCAATACATAATTCTATTCCCAATATTTGAATAAACGAACAGTCTCGTTACCGTGTAGCTCTCTCTGTCTAAAAGATCTACATCAATCTTACCATCTCTTCGCAGGACCTTTTGAATTCTCGCTACACCGTCATTCTCTAAATTGGGTTTATCCATTTCGAACGTCTCCAGCTATCGTACGATTTTCACCATTTTTAAAATTCATTTCAACTGTTTTTTATAAAATCATTTTATGTCGGCTATTTTAATTTCTATTCATCTTAACTGATATTCATTTTCCTGGTTTCTCAACGGATCCGTTCATTTATATCATTTAATGTAATATGATCATATTTAATAGAGTCTTCTTACCGAGACTTTAAGCACTGATTGCTGTAAAAGAAACCTAACTGGTGTTCGAAGAACGAATCCAGAAACCGTTCGAGCTTTCGGATATTCGATTTCGCGGGGCACTATATCGGTTGGCCACGCCGCTGGCGGCATGCGCTCGGACGAGGGCGTGCATTCGTGAGCGCGCGTGTACAGATCCAGGGACGTGTGCGTGTGCGTGGGACCTTGAATCAAGCAGCCTTTGTCGCGAGAGTCGAGCGAGCGCGGGTGCGCGCGCTCGCCACCACGAGGTCGGCGAAAGTGTACCCGGAGCTTTTTTGCTCTCGGGTCGGGCCGCGAGAGAGGAGAACTCTTTCCTCTGTTTTTTTTTATTCTATTTTCCCTCTCCTCTTCGCCTTTCCTTTTTTCGGTCTCTAGCGGGGTAACTCGTGCTCCGAACCGCGTGATGCCGCCATTTTTGCTCCTCGTCGGCGTAATGCCGGAATTAGCGCGCGACGCGCGTCGACTCTCGCGAAAAACCGAGCCTTATCGCCACGGATTTACGCCTGCGGAAACGGAGATAAGCGGAACCGGGGCCCGAATAATAATTGTAACCCCCGTCGACTCGCGCTCGATTTCCCACCGGGTCGAGGCTGCTCCGCTCCCGTTTCCCCCTCTTCGACGATTCGTAGGGTAGATTTCGGACTCGCATGCTAATGGATCTACGATTTTTGTAGGATTTTTTAGCTCTATGAGGGACGAATGGGTGTCCACGTCATTTTTATCGGTAATCGCTTGTAATCGGGAATACATTGCAAACTTCGTCTCGGAATAGGACAGTATGACAGAACGGTAGCACTCGTCGCGAGAGATCTCGTGGAAAATCGTCGAGGCGAAATTCACCCGCGTTTGAACGATAACGCGGCGCGACGCCCCGCCGCGGCCGCCGTGGCTGAGTGAAACAAAGGAGCTCGAGCCAGCCGTAACGGGGCTCGATACGGGCACACGATAATAACGAAACGAGACGCGCAGAATTCCGCAGCGTCGTTTCTCGAGGAAAAAAGGAACACGCCACGACCAGACGGCGAGATACACGCGAACGTGTCGCCGGCAATTATCCTTCGCCTAATGTACAGGGTGCACGACTCGCAGCGCGATTTTCTCAGATATACTGAAAATACTGTCGAAGTTGAATACTGGTGATCAAGCACTGGCAGACTGGAAAGATTGAGTACTTAAGTCTTTCTCAATTTGCAAATCTCATGCATTTGTGCCAATTATTGTTACAATTATTGAAGCACATACGAGCTTTTTATGAACTGTGCAAATTATCTTTTATTGCTGCCTCTCATATTTGGTACGTACATTGAATAGAATATGGGCGTGATTTGTCTCATTGTTATAGCTTGCGAATCATGCACTTCAAGTATAGCTCCATTTATGATAATAGGAATGAAATTGATATTTGAATTTCTGCTTCGCCATGCTCGATATGAAAGGATAAAAAATTAGGTATGATTGTATACAACTTTTCTTAGATAAACTGTATCGTTCGCGATTTGCGTAAGAGCGCTGCACCGTGTATGCATCGAGCCTGAGAATATATTCCGCTTGCACAAAGAGTTTCGTTACGCGGGTTTCGGTGCAGGGCGCAGGTTTCGTTCGGCTCGGTTTTTTCGATGGCGCGCTACTCGTCGCCGTCTAATATTAATTCCAAGCGCGCGGAATCTTCAATCTCTCTCTCTTTCTGTCGGCCAGCTGGTCCGCGCCGCGTTGCGCTTCTCGGAAGCTGCGGCTCCTGCGTGCCGACGACGGGATATATCGCTCGGTGTCGCTCCAGCGCGAGCTATCGAATTTTTCTGCGCCGGAGAACCTGTGCCAAATGCAAAATTGTTCCTCGATAGTTCACAGAATTTCTAATTGACAGTTTCCATTCGCTTGCCTCCGCTTCGCAGTTCTGCATTTTGGAATTTGATTTTAACAAATTACAGAAGATTAAGTTTCCAAATTGAAGTTCTAATCGGTTTCAGCAATCCTCTAATCTCACTTTCAAGTTGTATATTTGAATACTGATTTCATTCTTCCTGTACAGCTACAAAGTTTCTTTACGAAACCAATTCTATAAGTTGAAACTCTTTTACTAACACACCTCCCGTGCGAATAAATCGAATTCTACGAGATAAGTTTAATTTATACCGATCCGTCAGAGTAATCGGAGATACGATAAGATGTCTTGAAGAAGAGGAAAAGTTTCACGCAAAAAGCAGACGAGCGCCGATACGATTCGAATGGATCCGGCAATTTATTATCCGAGCGTATGGTCGCGTCACGGATTCGTTGCTTTCCCTTCGAACTTATTTTCGTGAGGTACGTACGTACGAGCGTTTGAAAGAGAAGACGAGATCCAGTACGCAGAAGTTCGCGCTATCAGCGCAGGCGAGTTTCACGACCTTTAAAGACTAAGGTTCACGATATTCAGTCTACGCTAGATTTATGGACAGGCAAGAAAGTTCAATCGCTCGTGGCCTACCTCCTGCGGGTGTTTCGACATCATAAATATTGAAACTGATTTTGCGTTGTTTAGTTTAATATCTCCTCCGGGATATCTGTTATGTTTTACAATTTATAAGTCGAGTCAGTTCTTCTCTGTTGAATGACGTGAGAAAAATTTTTGTAGTCGGTTCCGTTTGACCGTAGGTAGACGTGTTAATAGGTGACACCCAGTGGTTCGTGCCTCGAGGAATTCTCGGCCGAGCGTTGTTCGCATAAATGCCGTTATTTTTGACGTGCACACACACAGCGGCTCGTTCAGAGAAATTCGTGGAACTATTCGATTCTTCGTTAATTCGACCCAACTGGCCGAATTTGTCTTTGTCCCCTGTCACGTGTTGACACGGGAAGCCGAGCGGGATGCACAGGAAGTTCGGATGTCTCGTGGTTTTTTGACCTTACGATCTCGCTCTTCGAAACATTCAAAGGAAATACTATAAGCATTATAGTATAATAAGAAATATTTTTTTAAAAGTTCTCTCGTGACAGGGTTTTTAACGAAATTACAATTTTCAAAAGAAATAGAATTTCTATGTTAATTTGAAAAGTTGCGAGCGGAGAGGAAGCGAGCAGTGGCGTGACTGGCTGGTTTAATTCGCGGGCAAGCGAAAGTGCGCGTCGAACGACAGTGCAAGTTTCCAACGATAGCGAAAGCTCCGCAGCTGTAAAGCTATTAGAGAGAGTTTTGCGACGGGAAGAGTGGAAAAGCGGCAGTCAGATAGCGACAGAGCTATTGCTCTCTCTATGTACTTACTCCGGCCATTATGTGTGTCCACCGGCCGTGCAAAAGCTGTGCCAGCACGCGCGCCAGCGCGCTCTCTCGCGTGTGCACACAAAGATGGGCACGTTATATCGTTCCTTGTATGCACGTGTACTATGCGCGGAGCGAATAAGAGAGAAAGAAAATGATAGTTGGATAAAGAAAGGGTTAAACGACGGTCGATATCTCACAGTGGACCATCGTATCGGTTTTTGATGATGGCTTCAAACCGCTTCCAAGTAACTTGCTGGTTCAAAGTTCAAACTTCATTTTAATTAACCCTTTAACATGAATTAATAATCTTTGAGCTTCGTTCAGCATTCTGTTTATTAATTCGCTTCGCTGTGGCAATGACTGTGTAGGCAAAATTATCCAATTAATGGGGTTTGATATTTTAAAAGCTGTTCAGTATAGATTGAAATTCAGATTCGTATTCATTCATCTAGGGATAATTATACTCATTTTACAAAATCCCAAATGTTGTTCGTTTCACTCCTTACTGAATTGTTTCTTGAACGTCATTAATATGTGGTTTAAACACATACCGAACCGTTCAAAGCAAAAAGAAAGAAAACACCGCGCGTTGCAATTGTAATTTATAAAATAGTGGATCGCGAAACGCGAATAGCTCGCAGCCATCGTCAGTAGTCTAAGCAACGTTGAATGAACCAGCCGGCCGGGGACTAGGGCACAACATTCGCGAGTATCAAAGCGAGGCGAGCGAGTAGGTGTGCAGACACGCCGAACGTAATAGTAACCTTGGCTTAGCGATGGTCACGTTATGGTAACGTCTATGACACGTTCCCACGTAGTCGCGTGTCACGTTCTCGCTTACGATCGTCTCACGTGACCACGGAGAAAGGGGGAAGGGCTCAATGAGCCTCGTCATCGAGGCTTTTTTATCTTGAAACGCCCCGGGTTTTCCTCCACCGTTTTTCTCCGCGCTTTCACAAATCTTGCCAATCCATGAACTTTATCTCCTCTTTTCCTCTTGCTCGTTTAATGATTCTTTTTGCTTCCGGAGAAAAGGCCGTAGATTTTTCTTTTCATTTTCACTCGTCTATGAAAAGTGTGAACTAAATGTAAAAAAAACGAATGAATGAGACGAATGTTCTTCAGATGGGAAATCGATTTTAACTAAATTTTCTGTGTGCTTTTTTTTGTTTCAGATCGTACAAATCAACCGCCTTCTAACAAGCCACATTAACCTCAAGTGATTTCTATTTTCTTACGAAGCGCGAAAGAAGTAATTAGTGTGTTTATATCGACGATAAAACAAAGAAAGAAAAAAACGAAAAAAGGAGGAGAAAATATTCCAAGAGCTTAGGTTCCGGAGAAGAAGACAAAGCATTAGGAGCTATAGTATCTAATTAGTGTACAAAGTATATCTTGAAACAAAAAAAAAAGAAAAAAAAAAGAAAAAAGTCCGCCAGTGCCAAATCGAAACAAAAGGATTGTTATACGTTTAAGGGCAGTTTAAAAAAGCACAGACGAGCGAGTATAAGAAATATTGCGGGAAGACAAAACGAAAGGAAGCAAAAAAAAGAAGATAGAAGAAGGAAAAACCGTAAACCAAAGAATCTACCATTTCTTTTTTCTACTAATCACTCAGCGAGCTAACGATATACTCACTAACCAGCTAGACGAGCGGCGATCTCTTCGCGAGCAGATTTAATTCGGACAGAAGAAAATAAATTTTCAAATCACCCGACAACGTTTTCTAAACCGATAGTAGGAAATTTTACTTAATAAGCGAAATAGGAGTAAGGATTGATGTTCTTCGGAGGAAGGAGAAAGGGAAGAGAAAAGAGGGAAAAGAACCATATGCAACTACTCGCAGAGAACGCGTGAGAGTATCTAATTAAGGAAGAGGAGTCCCATCCAAAGCGAAATACAGACGGAGAGAACGCAGGCCGCCCTATATATCTGGAAAAAGGGGACTCGCATATAATTACTCCCAGAGAAACCGATCTACTTCAGTTCGTAGCCTAAACCTGTTGAGTACAAACGACAGAAATAGAGTTATAGAGAGGTAGAGAGATTGAGAGAGAGAAAGTACGTACGAGAGTGTGTGAGAGAGAGTGCGCGGACGAAACAAAGAAAAGAGCTGTAAACTAGAGGCGAGTGGAAGGAATACAGGAAAGGAGCACATATTACACACCGAATACACTTATACACGAGGAGATATAAAGGTATACGAGGAGAGCACACCAGATTCGAAGCGGCCGAACGAGGAAGAAGATTCGTCCCATTCTTCCAGATGTCACAGTACCGACGAGGCGAGTCCCGAGCACGCGTCGTCGTCCGTGCCAGCGGATAATCTCGATAACGAGCATCCAGTCACGATCGCGGGTACACGGGCGTCGATAAAACCCGAAGAAACGGAGGATCGGAATAATTGCGCGCGTGCAGCACAGCATACGCGTCGCCGTCGTCCGGTAGTCGAGTTTCACCCCGAACCAGCATCGGAAAAATCGTAATTCTCGGGCGAGGAACGTTAACGAGACCTCCTGCGAGCAGGGGGTTCACGTCGAGATGACGTGGCGGGGAAGATGAGCGCCGAGGTAACGAAGGAGGTCGTCGCCACCGAGAGGGTAGCAGGTAGCCCTCCGGCGGCGGTCGCGACCTCGCCGGGCTCGGTCGGTCCAGGTGATCCGGCGCGTCACCTGCCGCCGTTCAGCAGCTTCGCCGGGGACAACGCGATGGACAGTTCGACAACGTTGACTACCCTTCACGCCCAGGACGTCGGCCTCGGGCTGACGTCCTCCTGGGATTACTACGAGGGATTGACCGGTCGCCTGATCGATTCACGGGGTGAGGTGGTGCTCGCAAGCCAGTACAGACCGTGGGAGTCGAAGAACGCGATCGGTGGCGGCGGACCCACCGCCACGCCGACCGCCGAAGGTTTGCCGAGTTTCGCGAGCCAATTCACCGCACCGAGCGAGGCGGAGCCGCAATTGACTGCGCTCACTCCATTGTCGCCAGCCTCGATATCGCACTCTCCACCTGTCACGTCGGCGGTAGGCTTGCCCAGCTTCCACACGCTCGGCACGCCGCTTCCGGCGCCTCATCCTCACCGCGGCAGCGTCGGTTATCCGTTGGTACCGGCCCCGGTCCAAGCCAGAGAGGTGCCGGCGCTCCAACAACAGCTACTCGACGAACGGCACATCCAGCTGCTGGGTTCAAGTCCGGTCCAGGCGTTTCCTCCTCCGCCTCCCGGCCATCCTCATCACACGGTGTTGACCGTCGTCAAGCCCGACTATCCGCAGCTTCACCACGCCAATTTCCAGAACCCGATGTCCACGGTGCTGGACTCGTCGCCCACGTCCAGGCCGATCGGGATCGACGGCAGGAAAAAGGAGCGTAGAAAAATACGCGCCGGTTCGATGGAGTCCGAGGACAGTGCTGGCGCTGGGAACGTTGAGAGTTCCGGTCAAGTAGCCGCGGTCTCGTCGACGGCGAACAGGGGACCCCATCACATGGGCGGCGGCATGGCCGACGTCGACGGCGACGGAGGGTTGAGCGACAAGCCAGCGAAGAAGAAGCGCAAGAGATGCGGCGAGTGCATCGGGTGTCAGCGGAAGGACAATTGCGGTGACTGCGCGCCCTGCAGAAACGACAAGAGTCATCAAATTTGCAAGATGAGGCGGTGCGAGAAACTCACCGAGAAAAAGGTCAGTGCCAATTTTTATGTAATTCGAAACAATCTACACGATTCTCGTTAGTAACATTTATAGTTTGCATGAGACAAAAATTCTTTATCTACTCAAGCTTTCGAATCAGAAAGCTTAATATATAAATCCGCGATTAGAAATTATTACGATTTTCTCCTTTAATGGATGCGCAATAGCGAAAATAGCGTAGAGTCAAAAATCAGCTGTGCGATTCACTTTCGCCGAAAGCGGAACCCTGTTGCGCCACACGTAACTGGAGCAATTCCGCGAGAATGAGTGGATTGAAAGGGGGGTGGTGAAACGAGCGCGCGAAAATGAAGGTGGACGGCACGCGACATCGAGTTTCAGGCCGCCGAGGGGGATTGGCTGTCGTGTTTCGCTCGAAATTCGTGAAAATCCAGGTGAGCGCGAGCCGCCCACAGGGTCGGTAGAAAGGGGTGGCAGATGCCCGGGGTGGGATATAAACACCGGCGCACAGCCGCCCGCGTTGTAGAGAACACGGCCGTGTATATATAGATAGTAGCTGAACTTGGCCTCGATGCCTGAATGTGCCGAGAATCCCAGAGGGAAATACAGAAATACAGATAACCGAGGTGGTTTATTATTGTAGCGACATTGAATAGGGGGTTGGTGGGTTGGCTCGCTCGTTCGCTGGCTGGTTGGATATGGCTGTTGCCGTTCGGTTCCCTTTTCCTAGCGACGGCCTCGAGTCGTGCTCAAATTTAAGGATCGCGCAATTGGTTTCTTCTTACTTTTCAAAATATATACTAAAATGACTTTAGAAGTAATTGAAATTTTTTAATCGCAGCAAAACTATTGCTGACACTGATTTAAAAAAGAATATCTATTCTCTTCTTTCGAAGATCGAAGGACTTCATTTTGAAATACAACATATTTAGTGTGATAGTGATTGAATTATTGAAAGAGTTCAAATACTTTTAATCTCGTGTTTTGATTTGTAGCAAAATGATTTACTTCCTTTTATTAATCGGACATTGCATTGAGGGTAGAGGTTATCGATAATTACGTATTTATAATGCCTCGGTTCAACTGCTTCATACCAAGAAACCACATTGTTAAAAAACAGTCGTCAATACAATGTTTCGCGAATAAAAATATCTGTGTAAAGTTCGTATTGAGATACGACAGAAAATCACGTGTCTTAGTAACCAATTTAGTAATAACTTGCGAGTGAACCACATTAAAGTTCTTTGAGGTAAAATTACATTCTCGATAAAATATGAATTATTCGAACAAGAACAAAAATCGGTAGTTCAATATTCTTTGCATCCAATGACATCGAGAATTACCAATAAAATGAATCGTCGCGTGGACGCGATTGTGGCATTGAAACCACGAAACGAGCCGCGAGCGTGGAGGCAGCCGAGTGCTCGTTTCGAAAATGCGAATGCACACACGGGGTCATTGTACCCTGACGCGAGTCAATTTAATGGCAAAGTCGCGAGCGAGCGAGCGGCAGAGAGCGGTGCGCAACAAACAGAAACAGCCGCGCGCCGGGTCGCAAGCAGCTACGCTTATCGTAGGGCAAGTTCAAGGCTCGTCGCGGGTCATAATAATCGCGTATCGAACTCCAACTCGTTCAGAAACAAACGTGTTGTTTGCTACCGATACGACCTAACGCTCCTCGCTCTCTAGCTTTTTACTTTTACTCCCGCTCGTAATTAACGCTCTTACAATGAAAACGAATATCGATATACGAGATTTCTCACTTCGGCGTACCAATTTAAAAAGATTCGTTTTTTGGTCTTTATTACGAGCACTTCGTTTCCTGTACTGTGGAATGGAATAACGATAAGAGGAGAATGCTGATCGATGTTCGACAGCTGGGTCGTTGACAGTGATAAGAAGAACGCATTTGAATGGTACGCGTTTATCTGGCAGGGATTCTCAAGACGCGTAGGCGTAAGACGCGTAACGCTAGTAGTAATTGGCAATCGTTTAGTGAATCTAATATCTTATATCGTATCGTTTATATTAACCGCTTCATTTACACGAATGAATTTGTTTCGAGGAAAACTGTATCGTAATACTCCGAATAAGCAAGACCGATGATAGTTAGTAATATAGTTCCTAGTAAATTATAGTTCCTATTACATCTCAATAGAACTTACACTATGAGTCTATTTTATTTACTGTGCTCGTCCAATTATTTTGTGACACGTGTATAACGATAAGTAAAGTCGTTAAGATGTAGATTTTCACGAGTAGTCAACGTCTTTGCCGCTTCTTGTCTTTATCGCGGTCACTTTTCACCAGAGCTGACCTTAAGTGAGTCACTGACAGCTATTATCGTGACTTTCACGGGCGGCCGTGCGTAGGCAGTAGCGCATCTCGTGATGAGCCGCGATTAAGCGAGAAAATTGTTGTTCCGTCCGATGATAGCCTGTCGTGTGCAAATAATACGCGATTCCTCGTCGCATCTCTGGGAAGTCGCTTTATTAGTCTCGCGTCTCCACGGATTCACTCGGCCGCGATCCTGACGGCCGATTATGTTAAACTCCTCTCGTTTTACACCTTATTAAGACGGAGGCGCGAGGACGACGTCTCTCGTCTTAGGTACTTTATAATTGCGACGGTGATAGTACTTTTAATTTTTAGTGCGGAATCGTGCGGAAGATGTTGTTTAAAAAGGATACCTTTTAGCGACGTGAATAGACAGATTATCGATCATTCAAAGAAAGACTGATTACAACTATGAAGATTATCACTCGATCATGAATAGACTATTCTTAAGTGATCGACAAATATTAATAGCGCATTGTTGTTAACCTCTATTGTTGTAAATCGTCTCCTGAAAGAGTTTCGTGTGTATCGTGGCTCGTAAATATCCTCGAATACATTCATACAACTCGAGAGCAGGCCGATTCGCGAGCGGGAAGGTGCACGACAAAGGCAGTGTAAGAAGATAAAAAAAAGTGGGGAGGGGAAAGAGAGATGATAGATGGGCAGCGGCACGAGTCGAAGGTCCCGGGCTGTTGTACAGAACTCGCCGTCACAACAACCCACACCCTCGCGTATCTTAACACCCTCTTTATCCCGAGGGAAGGCTCACCCCCTGATGTCTTTCTACTCGCGAAACAGGAGACCTACCCTCGGGTTCATCGTACACCTGGCTGCCGTCGAGAGGCTATCCGCGATGCCCCAATTTTTATCGCCTTTTCCCGCTGTTCTGACCCGCTTTCTCGCCCCGAGTCAAGCGATCCCAACCTCCCGTCTCGTTCTCCGCTCCACTCTATTTCGTTCGGAACCGATTGCGTTTGTTTCCGGGTCGTGAAT